AATAGAATAGAATAGAATAGAATAGAATAGAATAGAATAGAATAGAATAGAATAGGACCTTGGAGGTCTTCTAATCCAGCCCCTGCTTAAGCAGGAGACCATCTACCATTTCGGACAAGTGACTGAGGCTCGCTGAGGAATTCTGGGAGTTGAAGTCCACAAGTCTTAAAGTTGCCAAGGTTGGGGACCTCTGCTCTAAAGGATTTTAAACATTGTCCCTGAAATGGTTTGTAAATTGTAGACGAAGCTAGTGAGATTGTAACACAGAAAATAAGTGAACAATAATAGCTTTTAAAAGCCCAATTGAATTCGAGAGATAGTTTTATACAGAGGTGTGTGATGCTTTATAGCTTCTCCGGGGAAGAATTGTGTTTGCTCAACATCGGACATAGGTAGTTCTGCTTGTGTTAAGACAAATAAAATTGTGGATCTTTGCTAGTTGCCCACAGATGTTAGAAGAATTATATAATCGGTCAACATTTTCTAGAGCAGCCAGGGTCTGGCATTTTGGTGAACAGAATTCACAAATATTTCCAAAACGGAATGGCGCTTCCTCATATACTGAGGTGTGGGAGGGGAGGGTGAAATGCAAGAAAGAAAATTGAGCAGGGGTCCAAAAGGAAATTAGATTTTTTCCCCCACAGTTTCATTTGCAGCACTGCACGAAAGAACATAAATATAATGACAAATATTTATTATTCAAACATAAATCATACCTATCACTAAGCGTTAATATATTCTGCACTTGTAGTTTGCTTTGTTTGTTTGTTTTTACTGCTTTTGGATATACAGTAAGGACTATGTTTCAGAATCTAAAAAAGCCTGTTCTTTACTAGAGGAATAATACTCTTTGGAGAACCAATTTTTATTTATTCAGTTAGTTATCTTGTTATTAAATTTATATGCCACCCATCTCATTGTTGAGAAACCCTGGATGACATAGTCAAAATCATTTATATACACATTTGCTCCTGCCAAGTGATTGAATAATTTTCTTTAGCCTTCCATCCTTCTGAGGTTGGTAAAATGAAGAGCTAGAGTGTTGGGGACAATATGCTTACTTTGTAAACCGCTTAGAGAGGGCTGTAAAGCACTGTGAAGCAGTATATACATCTAAGTGCTATTTCTTGCGAAGGAAGGAAGGAAGCCATAGTGGCAGTTGTTAAAATGCAGTATTGCAGGCTGACTCTGCCCACAGCCTGGAGTTTGATCCTGATGGGGCTGGAGGTTGACTCAGCCTTCCATCCTTTCCAAGGTTACTAAAATGAGGATCCAGATTGTGGGAGGCAAAATGCTGACTCTGTAAACTGCCCAGAGAGGGCTGTAAAGCACTGTGAAGCGGAATATAAGTCTAAGTGCTATTGCTATTATATCTTCTTTCTCTTTATGTTCTTTAGCAACTCTACCACAGTAGATATTTTACTAATACATACATGGTGTTCCATGAAACTACCAATCTGACTTTGATAATATTACATATCCGCAAAATATGGAGTCTATTAGTTTCTAATTCTCTCTATCCTTACAATTGGCAATTGATGCTACTATAATGCTTTTTCTTCCAGAGCTTTTAAAGAAGATATTTTGGTTTTTTTTAAAATGGGCCTCTTGGGATTCAAAACGTTCAGGCCTCTATGTTTTCAATAGGATTTGGATGTGACATTTTCTTCCATGACATTTAAGGGAGATTCAGTGGCAGGTGCTGATCTATCTTTACTCCCTTGCTAATAGCAGGCATGCTATTCATGGGGGGAGGGGGGGGAAACACCCCTTGTCTAATGTTACAGCACTAAGTTTTCAGTTACAGAAAGATGGCAAGGTCTTAAAAATCAAGTCTTGATATGGAGGAAGCGAAATGCGTCACTATCATTTCACCGTAGGAAGAAGTTATGGATCCTTAACAGAAAAGGCAAGTTTTCTTTTTAAGAACATAATTCCTCACTTTAAAAAGATGCAATTTTTTTCAAGCTCGGCCGCTTAAAAATGCTGCCTCGTTGTTCGCCTGTAGTTACTCCCAACGCACAATCTTTCTTTAAGATCTCCTAGCTGATCGAGTAATTTCAATTCAGGGCAATTGGACAAGCAGTGTTTCCTTTACAATGCACCACACACACAAAACGTACTTTCCCACATGCCTGTCGGAAACGTTTTGAAATCGCTTCGGTGGGTAGCTTTATAGATTGAACTGAAACAAATGCTTGACTTTATACTGTATAATGGTGTTTAATGTTCCTTTGACTGTCTCGCAGGAGCAACATTTGACGGAACCCTGCTTGAAATAGAAGAGGGAAATATTTTGCTCTCTATTTAGAATCGATTTGATCTGTACTGTTGGATTAGGTCCCTTGCCTTTATTTACTCTTATCGTCTTTTTCCTTGATGTCCTCTGTGGCAGGGGCAGGACTCTCATGGAGCCAGGCCTCTGACTTTGTCACGGTAAGTTAGTGCACAAATTTCAATCATAACAAAAGGTTAACCAAATGCTCTCCTTGCTGTCCTTGACAGCAGACCAAGTTCTGAGACTCCCCCTTAGACCACAATGGGCTTAAATCTGGTAACACAATTTCCTATCCTTCTGAAAGAGAAAAAAATACACAGACTTATAATTGAGCCCAACATTTCTGTGGCTAGGCGAGACAATTGTTAAGCGAGCTTTGCCCCTTTTTACAACCTTTCTTATCAGAGGCGTTAAGTGAATCACTGCAGCTGTTGTAAGTTAGTAACACGGTCGTTAAGCGGGTCTGGCTTCCCCCGTGACTTTGCTCGTCAGATGTTCACAAAAGGGGAATCACATGATCCCGGGACCCTGCAACCATCATAAATATGAACCAGTTGCCATGCATCCGAATTTTGATCACGTGACCACAAGGATGCTGCACTTTTTCCAGGGTTTTCCCGCTGTGTGTAACTTCAAACAGTCATTAAATGAACTGTTGTAAATTGAGGACTACCTGCACTGGAAGCCCAAAATAATGCATTTTAAAAAGAAAAGAAATCAACCAAAAAGGAAAGAAGCTAAACATACTAAGCCCATCTGTGTATATGATAGAATTTCACCTACATAACACCATTGTTCCAATCCAGCAACCTCTGACTATCAGAAAATTAACTGGTGTTCTACATTTTTTTTGTTCCTTATTATCTGTATCCCAGGCATCCAGATCTTCCATGGTGCATCCTGATACATCTATGCTTTTTTCTTGGCAAGAGAATGGAAGTGGGTTGACGTTACCTTCTTCCCAAAAGTTTACTCCAATTCCAGTCTCATTGGATTTCCCTGGGGTCTCCTGATATGAATCAACCCGATCCTTCTTAGCTTTTTGGGATGTGAAATATATATTCCATTGTATGTCGTACTTTTATTGTTCTTACAGGGGCTTTATAGCAGAAAGGTGGGAAGCAGCCCGCAAGACCTTTTCCTGGCCTGTTGACTTGGTGTCCAATATTCTTTCTCCACAATGGACTCTCCATTGAAAAAGAACGAGCCGGACAGTCCCAGATTTTATCACTTGGAACTTTATGACTCCCTTGAAGATTTCCTTCCCGAGGAACCATTTAGAAGGCGAGATCTGTCTGCGTCTGAAAACAGGGCCACCCAAGATGTAGAGAAGCAATGCACAAGTCATGCGGAGTGTCAGGATCAGCAACTCACAGACGATGCGAGAGAAGAGAATGACAAGGCTGACAATAATGTTCTTGAGGATAAGGATGAAAGCAGACAGTCCTACCAAGAGAAAGAACTATATTGCATTACTTGCTGTGTTCCAGTGACAGCCTTTAATAGCAAGTGTAATAAACATCAAGAGCACGAAGTCATGTCCCTTGCGGCTGTGGTGGAAATCGCAAAGGTGAGGACATTGTAAGCCGATCCTGGTAGGAAGCAGGAATAAGGCAATATTGCAAGATACTGTTCATCGTGATTCAGTCCAAGCCAGGAATAAACATGGTGACTGCTTTAGAAAGAAGGTTGCAGTTTATTGAAGAGGAGAGCCAGACAGGAAGATGGCTCTGGAAAAAAGAGAGAGAGCACATGTAGGGAGTGTGTTTTTATACCCTCTGGAGCCTTTTGTTTGGAGTTGTTTCCTGTTCCTGTTTGAGGCTTTGTATTTCCTGTGTCACGTATTCTGACCTGAGTCTGTGTGTGCCCTTTGGCATTTGTGAGTTAATCCTATTATGTCCTGTCTTAGACTTTGGGTGGGGTATGTAGATTTTAGGTGTCTTTGTCTTCTTAATCTTCTAGCTGGAGAGCTCCAACCTTCCTGAATGGATTATTACATCTGCATTTGTACAGAGCTGGTTTCTGCTTGGGGGAGGGAGACTTGGGGCTATTAAGAAAACTGGGCATGCTTTTCTGCCTCTTTAAGATCCTTTGAGGAAATATATTTTTCTGCCCTTTTAATATTTCCTTCTCTGGGGGGGAGGGCTGACTTCCCACAATACCTAACCACATTTTGTTTTGAAAGGATGAGCTTCAGAAAAACATTGGCCGATTGGAAGATCAAATTGCTCACCTGGAGAGTTTTGCTAGCCACTTGGAGGAAATTTTTATTACTGTAGAGGTAAGATGCTCTCAGGAGCTAAGTGAACTGAAAAGGAAGGTCCACCTTAGAGGTCCATCAGCCTCTTGCCATCTCACGCATGGATAAAGAAGAAGGTCTTATGGTTTATTTCTTAGTAAGACAGAGATTTAAGACTTAACTGTTCAAAATCTGTCGTTTGCCATCACAGGTCAAAATGTTACAAGGAGAAGCAGATATGGTTAAATTGATTCCTTTGCCCAAAGAAGAGAATATACATAATTATATTTGGAAATTGCTTCTGGATTTGTGCTTGCAGTGGAGAAAAAAAATGAAACTTTGTTTTTGTTTTTGCTGTGGCTATAGAAATGGCTAATATATAGTGTATAAAAGTAAAAAGTTGAGGTTGTAATGTTCTCTTCAACTATGCTAAAGAGAGTTGGAAGTCGGTGCCTTTTTTGTTCTTTTTCCCTTTTACTCCATATTTTCTCTTTTTCCCTCCAAGTTTTCTATTTTTAAAATTGCGCTTTCTCTTTTATACTTTGATAAATTAATAAACATGTAGTAAATAGGAAAAATATTGTTAGCTCCAGGAATTCAAAGTTGCTGTCCTGTTCTATTAATACCTCTTTACCTGGTAAGAGGAATCTGTTTTCTTTAAAAATATTGTTACTAAATATTTTATTAAGATGTAATTGGCTCCTTGCTTGCCATGACAGCACCTCATTTCTGGCAGATTTGTGCGTATAATCAGAAACTGGAGCCAGAGAAAATCAAATGGAAAACTATCCAAATGAAAAACTATTTTGGTGAAAGCAATATTTTCAATATATTATCCCAAATAGAGACTACTACAAGGTCATAAAAAGGGACTCTTGGTTAATGACTACAGACTAGAGCCTTCTCCAATCTAGCCAGATATATTTGAGTGTCATTGCCATAGCTCCAATTATCATTAAATATCTGGAGGACTGTTTGGTAATTCCTATCTTAAGATATCCTTTTAATAATCCTCTAATACAGTGCTTCTCAACCTTGGCCACTTTAAGATGTGTGAACTTCAACGCCCAGAATTCCTGGCTGGCTAGGGGATTCTGGGAGTTGAAGTCCTCACATCTTAAAATGGCCAAGGTTGAGAAGCACTGCTGTAATATTTCTCATTTTCTAATTTCTAGAATTTAGTAGAGTTCCAAGGATTCTTTGCAGCAATCCAGGAGGGTTAAATTGGTGTTATATAAATAAAAGTGTATAAAAATGTTTCTTTTCTTAGAGCCATCTCCAGATTTAATTGTCAACTCTTTGAATGTGCTCACCTGAGACCAACATATTTTCTTCCAGGAGAATTTTACCAGGCAGCAGCAGAACTTTGAGAAGCGTTACGAGGACATAATACAGATCTTTGAGCAACGCTATGAAGAAAATATGCAGGCTTTGGGAGAGGAGAAGAAAGAAAAACTGCAAGCTTTGTACAAACAACTGGTCGGCTGTGGAGAAAACCTGGATACTTGCAAAGATCTCATGGAAACCATCGAAAACCTTGACCAGGGTGAAAAAAAAGTGGAAGCCATCAAGGTATAGGACAGAAAGAATCCATGACGAAATGGGTCCTTCAGTCTCAAAACAATTGCTTTAAGGTTTGCTGAAAAATATAAAGGAAGCCCAGAAGATAACATTGGTGGTGTTGGGAGTACACTTGTTTGGGCAAAAAAGAAAGATCAGTTACAAGAATGAATGTACAGTGGTACCTTGGTATTCAACGGCTTTGAAACTCATCAAATTGAGTACTCAACAAATTTTGACGTGAAAATTTTGTCCTGGTACTCATCGTTTGTTTGGTATTCAACACACAAATTAGAACTTGTCTAGCTACATTATTCTTTGTGTGAAAAATGTGTTTGGTACTCATCGTTTTGGGTACTCATCACCCCTCCCAAAACTAATGAATACCGAGGTACCACTGTAGATCCAAAGGTTATATAGTGTTGCATCTAACCCTGGTCAAGTATGAGCTTATGTTGTACAGGTAGTTCTTGACTTACAACCACAATTATGATCAGAGCAACCCAGAGCACCTGACCTAAACCAGTGGCTCTCTATAAGAATCACAGTTCTGAATTCTCTACTAAAAGGGATATTATTTTGTCCTTCTTAAATTTGGAAACTGATCAAAGAGAGAACAACCTGGAACTAGGAGAAACTTTCTGACAGTGAGGACAATCAACCGGTGGAACAGCTTACCCCCAGAAATCATGGGCGCTCCATCACTGGAGATTTTTAAGAGGAGACTAGACATTCACCTGTCTGAGATAGTGTAGGTTCTCCTGCTTGAGCAGGGGCTGGACTAGAAGACCTCCAAGGTCCCTTCCAGCTCTATTCTATTCTATTCTATTCTATTCTATTCTATTCTATTCTATTCAAATTATACCGTGCTGTTTGCAGTGGTCTTCTGAGATGGCATTTTATTTTACCTCCTTTGGGTTTGCATTGCTAGAGATATATTCTGCCATTTCATCAGACGACTCGTGGCATTTATGAAGACATTATTTCAATCTCTGCTTTGTGATTTCAATTCTCTAATGCAATAACTTCATTAGACATATCAGGATATACTTTTGAGGAAGCATGCCTAGGGTTTTGCCATGAAAATAATATAGCGATTTTAATCACGCATCTTGGAGAAAAAAGTCAGTGCGCCATTATTACAAGTGTGTGTGTGTGTGTGTGTGTGTATGCCTATGTCTCTGTGCATATGTAATATATTAGTGGGATCACCAATCTCTCTTTTTTCAACAGACTGCAGTTGCAACAATTCACAGGTAATACTGAAATATGAATTTTTAAGAGCTTTCCTTTCTGTAGTCATCCCTCTATAGTCATCCTTTCTGTAGTCATCCTACCACAGTGTTAAATTTGGCCTTAATGTTAGTTTACTCAGTGAACTACTGTTGGGAGCAACAGATATAATTTTACCTATATAAAATCATGGAAATATTTCTCTTAGTCTGATTTGGTACTAATTTGGCTTTCATTTCAGTGACAATCAGCTGGGTTTCCATTTTCCTGTGATCTATATTGTTTTTAATTTCTGTTAATAATTACATAGCATTCTAAGATCTATTGATATGGGGTAGGGGGTTACATAAATTAGCAAATAAATTCAAGCATGCTGATGTCAGGCTTGCTATGAGGCTCAACAAACCAAATGTTTCCCAGTTTTCAAACATTTACTATTGGGCTCTGTTACGTCTGGGATTATTAACTCCATATCAGCCTTATATACGTTTTAAAATTACCCATGGATGTCAGTATTGAAACTAGCTGAGCAAATGGGCACCTCACACGTGGTGATCTTGGTGGTGATAGACATTGGTGCTGTAGAGATTTGCCTAACCTTTCCCTATAATCTTTTAAACAGAAACCAGAAACTTGCTTACTTGTAATTGTGGAAGACTAACTGTTCAGGACGAAGTGGTCAACAATAGATTAAAACAGTACAGCTTCTATGGGAAAAGGAAAGACAGAATTGACAGCCACTTGGCCACCTTGGCTCTTTTATGACTCGTGGACTTCAACTCCCAGAATTCCTGAGCCAACATGGCTCAGCATGGAAACCTCTCCCTTTCCCCTCAGCATGGCTGGCTCAGGAATTCTGGGAGTTGATGTCCACGAGTCATAAAAGAGCCAAGGTTGCCTACCCCTGGTTTAGGGTCTCCTGCTTGAGCAGGCGGTTGGACTAGAAGACCTCCAAGGTCCCTTTCCAGCTCTATGCTAGGAAACACTGCCTTATTTGAACTTGCCTGTATCCTTGAATTACTATTTTTTTTTAAAAAAAAATTACATTACTTGGAAGTCTGAGGTTCTTAATGCTCATATTTAATTTGGGATTTTAATACTGTCTATTATGAACATTTCTTTTGTAAATGAATTCCATATAGAATAGAAGGGTGCAGCCCATGCATTCAGTCTATAATATAGTAGAAATGTTTTGTAGCAGCATAAATCTTAACACAAGCCATCTAACGCTGATTTTTGTGGCATTTTCAGAGTGCACACCTTCTTGGAAAAGGATGTGAGCGTAGATCTCTCAACTCCAGCAGAGTTTGAAGACCGAGTCATTGATTTCTCAGACATTCAGGAGCTATTGAAGTCTGTTAGCTTTTCCCCAAGTAAGTCCATTAGGATACCACATACAAACAGTAGGTTGAGTTGGAAGCGGGCAACTTTATTTCCTAGAGATGATATGCTTTCAATGCATAATTTAGAATATTCAAATGAAATATGAAAAAAACAGA